GCCTGTGCACACAGTTATGGTTTCCTTGGACATCGATATTGTGGTTGACTGTACCGTACCGTACTGACGTAGTACCTAATACGTCCACGAAGTGTCTGCGTGCACAGTCTTAGTGGACATTTAGTTGCAAAGGTTTGACATGTTAAACACTTGTGTGTGTCAAAACTTTGATCAATGATTGATGGAGAACTTAGCTCAATTTTATTGATACTTAATTATTATGTATTTGTACTTGCTTGTTATGCCGTTTTTACATAGTTGTGCCCAACCTTGGCTGCCTGACGAGTACTGACAACTTAGGCTTAAACCTTTATAAGTTACACTAAGCTAGTGGATAATATACTTTAAGAAATATTGTACATTTTGATGTTATTCAACTCTGAAGCGAAATACATAAGATTGATATTTGAATGTACCTATCCATATACAGTACGGTACAGCCAAGGCGTGCCCCCGTGCCCGCAGTACTCACACAACTCGCATTTCATTACGGTGCTTATTACGGAGCGGACGACGACGCCGTCACCCTACACTCTACCCTCTGTCTCTAAATTCCCAAATATATTATAGCAAATCATTTTATAGGACTTACATTTAATTATCAATAATTACATTTATTTGAACTTTCCATTTTTTTTATTGGCAGTGTTTGGGCTATTGTCAGATGCTAAGACAGGTCTTACCATCTGACAATATACTACGACCTGTATAGATCTATTGTGCTCGCCCTTATTCAAAGTTCGCTACCTAGACCCGTTTCCTTTCCAATCACTGGAATTAATTTATTTCTTAATTTGTGACAGTGTAGTGAAATTGTATAATGTCAGTGTGTGTAGGTGGTCGGGTGTGGTCGGGTGGCGGTGCCGCTCGTCCCGCATGGCGCGTTACAAAGTACAATTTATTATATTATACTTACCTTAATCTATTATTAATTAATTAATGTTTATACACTATTGTCACTGTTGGGCGATGTCGCGCGTTCTCCGACCGAGACCGGTTCGTGTGTCCGTTTAATATTTACGCTAGCGGTAACTTTAAAGTTGATAATGTTTGTACAGTTTTAACGATATTCTCGTAGTGGGCTAAGCAAGAAATATTTTTTAGTATAATAAGATCTAATCGAATTACATTTAGTGTAACATAATGAAGTCATCGAGGTCGTTTTGAAAATTAATTTGTACACTTTGTACGGCATTTGGTTTATTTGAATTTTAATGTCTCATCTAAAACTGACTCCGTGGAATGTAATTAGAAATTTAACAGGAAAATTTTAAATATTGAAATACAACATTAATAACGGTTAAGTAATGTATTATAAATAGCAGTAAGGTAAAAGTTATTAACACTGTATGGAAAAATTGTGACAAAATTATAGTCATTTGTAATATTATATTGTTGTTTCATTATATACTATTATATACTACAATACTCAGGGGCGGATCGTGGATATGTGAGACCCTGGGCTAAATGTACTTAGAGGCCTACCTAATTATATTACTCAAACAAAAATTACACCGACCAGAAATTTCCCTTTCCTTTCAATAGACGTGCTCTTTGAGATCTCAGGGTTGCTAACTAGGTTTTTTAACATTCTAGATATTTTATTATATTCTAAATAACGTTTCAGTGGTAACTGGGGACCCTTTGATCCTCGGGGCCCTGGGCTGCAGCCCAAAAAGCCCTTAGGTAGATCCGCCCCTGACAATACCCAAAGTCAAGTCCAGCTTCAGTTCGAACTAAGAAAAACTAACAAGATACCCGGCTCTTATTCATGAATACATTCATCCCACTACAATTTTATATTTGCAGAAATGTCCTGCAAATTACTCAATTTATCGACAGGATATTTACAATACTACAATACACTCTTTAACACTCATAGCAATGCTCCTGTTTATCTTAAATTCCTCTTTCGATTCTTACTCCCTCCTGCTAGACCCAGTCGCCTTTGCTAAAACCACACGAAAATGTTAAAACTTTCACACAGTAAGTCCTAATTCTTAGATTTTTTTTTAATTCGCCCTGCTCAGTTGTAGAATAAACTAAATTTACAGATACAAAAGTCCATCAATTTTATCTGTATTGTTTTAATTCAATTAAAAAATATCCGTCTCATGTTTTTTTTATATTAGGGAGAATGTAGTGACCAACAGCAATATTGCATTTTTGTCAAATTGGAATGATTTAATCAGCAACCGTAACCAGAACAGCATCGCAAGCAGCATCCGTTCACTTGTATGATAGATAAGCCAGCCGTCCTTGGAATATGGAGAAGATCAATCATTGACGCTTTATATTATAATAAAATTAGAAAGCGCTTCTATCTGTGCTTCTGTGTTAATGCCGAAGAACTTATAACGAGGTAATGGTAAAATAAAATTACAAGCTCTTGAAATACTTGTTATGCCTTCTTAGCAACTTTTTAGACTGGCAACACATTTACGTCCAAAATATCTAAGAGCCGTAAAATATTAATAAATAAATAAAAAAATCTACTAACACAGAACCTAAAAAAACTTGTCGGCCTCGTTGGTCTAGCGGTTTAGCACGCTGCTTTACTTTTCAGTGGTCGCGGGTTCGATTCCTCGCACAGTATACTTTGGTCTAAGTATTTTATACGTATATCATGTATGCATTAAAAAAATGCATTTATATCAGTTGTCTAATACCTATAACACAAGATCTGCTTAACTTGGGATTAGTCCTGAAATAAATGCTATATAGTACAATATGAATGTGCTTCACGAAATATTATTTACAAGAATCGCCACTAGATGGCGATCTATACAAATTCTGAATTCAATTGCAGAAATTTTGAAATTATCATTTTGCAAGTGTCAAACTGTTTTTTACTACATGCATAGGAATATAAATGCACACACACCAAAAAAACATTTACAATTTTTGTCTGTCTGTCTGTCTATTTGTTTCGGCAAATCTCTGAAATGGCGGACCGATTTTGACGGGACTTTTTTTGGCAGTTAGCTGATGTAATAAGGAGTAACTTAGGCTCCTTTTATTTTAGAAAAATAAAGTTAAATTCCACGCGGACGAAGTCGCGGGAACAGATAATAATATATAAATACAGTGATTAGTCTGCTGGAGAAGATAACAAAGGTATTTGTATCAACGTCACCGTGACATGACGATCATCTAATGCAATTATAATAATTATACATAACAAAATCAGTGTTTTTTTTTAAGGACGTCATTAGAATGGTGCATCTGTCTGCGTTAACGGTTTACGCTAGTGGGGCACCAGTGGAGATAGATCAGCATGAGGTCAGGTCAGTTATCATTTCGTGATAAATTCACTAGGAATTTATCACGATGGTCTCCAGGGGGGACCGCGTGGAGGTGAACCTGACATGGCAGGCACATTGTTAGCATTGGGATTATAAGTCCACATTAGTAACAATTCGACAAAAAAGCATTAATCATTATCACAGAGGTATGGGACGAAACTCACCCTTTTGATAAAAATAAAAAAAAACTACAAAAAGTCTTGATAATTTTCATGTCTACAAAGGATATTTGACTGTGCGATTGAAACATAAGGTTTAATTGAGACTTCTCTTTCTAGATCTCGTATTTTAGTACTAAGTAGAATGGAAAAAATAATTTAAAGTCTTAGAAATAAGGTTCAAATTCTTTTAACAACAATCCATTTACTCCTTCTATTTACGTTACTGGCTTTTTTCTCCTTCCTGCCAAACTATAATACATTATACTATAAAATTTAAATGCCATGTATAATAATTCAACATTACCGTATTATTAGAGTAAATTAACTTAACCTTTAAATTTATAACTAGTGTTGTAAGATACGTACAGGTATGACAAAGCTGTTACGTATATTCATTACTTTTGACACAGTTGTTTGATTTGACAGCAACATAGAATATATTATATTTGAAGACCATCTAACATTAAAAATTCAAAATTTTTTTGTTTTATTTGATTTGAATGTAAAATTTAAGTTTGTTTTTTAAAGGTTGCTGAACTGGAAGTACAATCCTTTAAGTGCGCTCAACTCGTGTCACAGATTACTTCAATAATTTGTTATCTATTCAACGACTGACAAAGGATGTCAATTTCAAAAAGAGTATAGACAAAATTTAAGTAGGTAATTTATTGTGTCGTGGAGTAGTAGATTTTTAGTCTTAATCATTTCTAAATTTATTTTCAAAATAACTCATTTTTGTTACCCTTGTATTTTTGTCAAGTATTTTGTTTTTAAAATACAAAAATTATTTCATACCTATATGTGTTTTCAAATATTAAATTAAGATTTTATTTTAGCAAAAAAAACTCATCTAACGTAGCCAACATAAAGAACCTAAGTTTGATGGCTTCGAAATCATAGACAATTCGAGTTGTCGAGAGTCTCCAAAAAGATCGGCGAATCGCCTTTAGAATTCGGTGTGGATTGAGATGTCGGATATCGGCAGCGGTGACGAGGGGATTTCTAGTCAGAGTACGTATTTATCTAAAGCGGTGGAACGTCAGGCGTGCCCCGCACCCCTAGCCGGGGTCGTCTATCGTCGCGAGTAACGTTCCCGGCCGTTCTAGCTATCAAAAGTAAATATCTCATTGTTCCCGTTTCAAAATGGCGAAGTCGGTTCTGGTATTTCCTCGGCCGTGAGGCCTCCGCGGGATCCTCGCGCGGGCCGGCCCGCCGGGGAGCGGGCGGCGGCGCGGCGTCCCGGCCGGGGCCGGCTCCGGCGGCCGCCGCCGGAGGTTGACGACCTATCGATTTTTTTGTCTGCGACCTCTCGTCGTGGGGCGGGCCGTCGTCTGGGGCGGCGCGCTCGCAGCTCCCGCGGCTCCCGCCCTACGCGCGCCGGCTCGCGCGCGCACGGTTCACCTCGCGCCTCGCTCCCAGCACCCTCGCGCCCTTTGTCTGCCGCGCCGCCGCGTCAGCTGACGGCGCGACACCATGGCAGGTCAGTGGCCCTCCAGCCGGGCCTCGCGCTTCCCGTCTCACCCACTGACCTCGCGGCCGGTCCACTTGGTGTCGCATTCTGCACTCCGATCGGCGACCCGCATTGTTCCGCGACGCGAATTGTAACCTTCGTTTTGACGTGGTTCTTTGTTTGATGTGCGCCTGTGAGCTCCAATAGAGCCAGTGATGTGTAGTTTTGTGATATATGTGGTGTCAGTGTGCAGTGGATTTGTGAATACTGTGTTCCATGGACAAAGGAATGTGCTAACAAAGGAACTGTCCCTGTGACTAGAACACCACCCAGCCACTGAACGAATCTCAATATATAGCTACTTACTGGTTCTTCAGACTGATTTATATGAAGATGCAAGGGACACAATAAGCCCACATTATAAAGTTGATGAAATTTAATGGATGTGATTTGCCTTTGTTCACACAAAGCTTGCACTACTGTGGTAAAATGTACCTGATGGGTAAGTGACTTGATCTATTATATTTATGTAGTACTTCTACTGCAGTGAAGATAGTTAATGTAAAAGATATAAAACAAGATATATGCACAAATATATACATTTATCAAGAAATATGTGAGATAATTTAAAAACCAATTTACCATTATATCAAGAAAGCTTGTGAGTTCTTTGTTCACCATGAATGAGAACATAATGTCTACATAATCTGATCTCTACATATACATACTGTCTGTTTGCTTCATTGAATGGTACCATATGTTGGTAAGTTGCTACATTCATTTCAACCATCAAATTGTCCTTGTTACCAATTAGCTCCCTGTTGCTAAGCTGTAAGATTCTACTCAATATTACTCAATAATTATATACAGTTTACCTGCAATCTGCTGCATAGCAACAACCAGTCTAGGTGACTAGTTGTGTATTATAACATTTCATATATTAACAATACTGTTATATAATTTGTTACTTATATTCCTAGTATTATAAGGACATATTTAATAGTCTTTGTGATTTCTAACATTGTTTCTTTGTCTATTGTTCTAAATCTATAATTTATAGTAAAGTAAAGAGTATTAGCCTCTTTTAGTTTTAATATTTAATTTTATTATATTATAGTGTGGTTTTTTTTATTGTATTAAGTTTGTATTCATAAAATAAATCCTTCTATGAAGTGATCCATGCCAAGTATTGAAGTGATGATGGATTATTGATGATGTTCATAGTTTTTAACTTTTTTACATTAATATTTGTAGTAAAATAACATGCATGCCAGGTGGCTCATTGATGAAAACATGAAATGTACAATATTACAATAAATTTGTGTTAAAATTCAACATTAACATGGGCAGTTCTAAAAATATAAAAAGTTATATATAGTAGCGATAAGATAATGCCTACAAATACAAACAAATATTTATCAGTCTCGAGACCCCTCCTTTTATTTGAGGGGATTGGCTCCTCTGATAAATATGCGAAATCAAAGAAGATATGTCGTATAATATTGTAAATTTAAACTATCTGTAGCACTAACATGGCCCATACTTATTCTCAATGAGGTCAATTTTAAATGTTTGTTCTATTATTCGTTTCTTATGATTACAGATGTTCATTTTCTTATACAGTTTTAGTAAAAACATACACACTTACAATATAATTAATGTTTTCCTAGTTTTATTGAAGACTTCTGTGGTTTTGCTATTTAGCATACTGTCTTAGTAAAGATTAGCATTTATATAATAACTAACTGTCCCGGCAAACATTGTTTTGCCTTAAAATAAAAGAAAATATTTAGGGGTGGACTACCCCTAACATTTAGGGGGATGAAAAATAGATGTTGGCCGATTCTCAGACCTACTCAATACGCTCACAAAATGGAATGAGAATCGGTCAAGCCGTTCCAGAGGAGTATGGGAACGAAAACTGTGATACGAGAATTTTATATATAAGATATTTGTGTTATAGTATGATTATTTACACTGAACAAACTTTATGATAACTTGAACTTAAAATGCATAGCATTTTCTTTGTAAAGTTCAGTTTTTTTAATGTTTTAAGTATTTACACTTGTCTAGTATTCATAATACAAGCTCTGCATAACTTAGGTCAAGATAGCACTGTGTATTATGGATTAAAACACATTTATATTTTAGAATCATCTTTTTTAATATGAATGCTTGTATTGAGGGTGACAATAAAAGACACACACAATTATTCGTTATACAACACTGTGTGAATCATGCAGGCTTACTATTTGAGCACCCAGGAGAGGCCGAAGCAGGCCGCTGATCTTTAATGACTCAGATGGTGGCGTGAATCATCCAGGGTAATTATTATGAGCGCCCAGGAGAACCCGGAGCAGACCACTAGTCATTAATGACTCTGATGGTGGTGTGAATTGTCCAGGGTGACTATTATGAGCGCCCAGGAGAAACCGGAGCAGACCACTAGTCATTAATGACTCCGATGGTGGTGTGAATTGTCCAGGGTGACTATTATGAGCGCCCAGGAGAAACCGGAGCAGACCACTAGTCATTAATGACTCTGATGGTGGTGTGAATTGTCCAGGGTAATTATTATGAGCACCCAGGTGAACCCGGAGCAGACCACTAGTCATTAATGACTCTGATGGTGGCGTGAATTGTCCAGGGTGACTGTTATGAGCGCCCAGGAGAAACCTTGAGCAGACTACTAGTCATTAATGACTCTGATGGTGGTGTGAATTGTCCAGGGTAATTATTATGAGCACCCAGGAGAACCCGGAGCAGACCACTAGTCATTAATGACTCTGATGGTGGTGTGAATTGTCCAGGGTGACTATTATGAGCGCCCAGGAGAAACCGGAACAGACCGATAGTCTTTAATGACTCTGATGGTGGTGTGAATTGTCCAGGGTGACTATTATGAGCGCCCAGGAGAAACCGGAGCAGACCACTAGTCATTAATGACTCTGATGGTGGCGTGAATTGTCCAGGGTGACTGTTATGAGCGCCCAGGAGAAACCTTGAGCAGACTACTAGTCATTAATGACTCTGATGGTGGTGTGAATTGTCCAGGGTAATTGTTATGAGCACCCAGGAGAACCCGGAGCAGACCACTAGTCATTAATGACTCTGATGGTGGCGTGAATTGTCCAGGGTGACTGTTATGAGCGCCCAGGAGAAACCTTGAGCAGACTACTAGTCATTAATGACTCAGATGGTAGTGTGAATTGTCCAGGGTGACTATTATGAGCGCCCAGGAGAAACCGGAGCAGACCACTAGTCATTAATGACTCTGATGGTGGTGTGAATTGTCCAGGGTGACTATTATGAGCGCCCAGGAGAAACCCGGAGCAGACTACTAGTCATTAATGACTCTGATGGTGGTGTGAATTGTCCAGGGTGACTATTATGAGCGCCCAGGAGAAACCGGAGCAGACCACTAGTCATTAATGACTCCGATGGTGGTGTGAATTGTCCAGGGTGACTATTATGAGCGCCCAGGAGAAACCGGAGCAGACCACTAGTCTTTAATGACTCTGATGGTGGTGTGAATTGTCCAGGGTGACTATTATGAGCGCCCAGGAGAAACCGGAGCAGACCACTAGTCTTTAATGACTCTGATGGTGGTGTGAATTGTCCAGGATAATTATTATGAGCACCCAGGTGAACCCGGAGCAGACCACTAGTCTTTAATGACTCTGATGGTGGTGTGAATTGTCCATAATAATTATTATGACCATCCAGGAGAAATCGGAGCAGACTGCTAGTCTGTAATGACTCTGATACTAATCTTAGATATAAAATTCTCCTGTCACAGTTTTCGTTCCCATACTCCTCCGAAACGGCTTGACCGATTCTCATGAAATTTTGTGAGCGTATTGAATAGGTCTGAGAATCAGCCAACATCTATTTTTCATCCCCCTAAATGTTAGGGGTAACGCACCCCTAATTTTTTTTTTTATTTTAAGTCAAAACAACGTTTGCAGGGACAGCTAGTGTATTTATATATGTTGGTTGACACATAGCTCTGTACAGACAAAACTATGTTAAAGGCTGCTACTAAAAATCTTATCTATCTAGGTGATGGCTTTGTCTGCTCTTAAATTGATAATTATTTCCTTGGTAACATCTCTTTGTCTTGTAGTGTTTACTATGACATGTCCATATATTTCTACTCATATTTCATACTGTCTGTCTGTCTGATAGAAAATACATACAACTATATAGTTGTTGTTCTTGTTAGTTGTCATTTTCATCATCTGCTTCTTTATCCTATTTATTTGGGGTCGGCTTGTTTGTTCCGTATATGTTGAACAAAATACAAAACGTAATTGCCATAAAACGAATTACTAACTTTAGTTCAACGACATTTAGGTAAAATTAGTTTGTTATTGTTACGCAAGCTTTTATTAGTGTAATCACTAACTCTTTTGAGTTAAATCAGTCGTAGTGATTCCTTAGAGGTTTATAATCATTCATTTATTACAGAAATTTTTCTTCTATTATTGTATATTATTTAGAAGCTGTTTTTAACAATTTTCTTGAGCAATAATCTATTCAAGCCTCATCTTTTTCATTAAAAGACCTATCAGTCTCTCCAAAGTCTAACTCTACTTTGTACTCTATATGAAAATGTAAGACACTAGTTGTTGCCGAACAAACTTTCATCCCCTATTTCACCCGCTTCCAGATTCTACATGATACTACATAGAATAGAATAGAATAGAAAATCATTTATTCAAATAAACTTAATTTAAGCACTTTTGATTAGTAAAAACTTTTTTTATCTACCGCTCGTTCCGATAGCTGTCTCATCACAAGAAGAACGAGCAAGAAACTTGTGTGTTGCTCTTTTAAATAATCCTTGTAAGTTTACATTTACAAGTCGAAACGTGTGAATACAAACTACCAACCAGCACAAATTTTTTTGGGTCAAATATAAATATACAATAAGATTAAAGCAGTCGTAGTGATAAGAGCAGACCACTCCCTAGAAGCAGCACTCGTTCACGAGTATGACGGATGAGCAGCCATCACTGCGCTCGGCCATATTTTATCCCTAAAATATGGCCGAGCGCAGTGGGCTCCCGCCCAATGAGGTATCTTCACATTAAAGACAATTAAGATGTATTCAACAATGAATTGGTAACAAACAGACAGATAGTGTCACTTTCACATTTATTATATCTGTATAGAGTTTAGTCATAGATTTGAACAGTTCCGTAGTAACAGCTCAACATATGCTGCTCTATGGAATGTTTCTGTACCATCTGCATACCATGTGCCAAGACCAAATACTCCGAGAGCAAACTGTTTTCAAGCTATAACATATGCCAATCCAACCTGCTTTTCTATTTAATTTAAAGAAATACAATATTTCTTCTTTTTTTCCACCTAAATAGTTGTTTTAAATTAAGACTACTAGGTAACCAATCTGTTCTCTCTTTGACAGGAATGCTTGCTGGCCGATTATAATATTATTTAGGTGAATATACTATAATATATTATATTATTATTTAA